GATCTCCCAAGTACTTGAATTAATGCAATGCTTATCTACTGCTCTCCTCCATTTAGATATATCCTCCTGCATGCCCTGGAATATCAAGTTGTTAAATTCCTTTGAGAAATTCCCCATGTACTCCACTTTTGGGTCAATAGCTAAAGTTGGAGAATCTCTCATCAGTTTGTAATGCAGTGGCATCCTTGGGTCATCGCAAGTGATTACAATAGCTTTGTAGTTAGCTTTCTCTGCTCTTTGAATAATATCAGCCAATACAGGTCGATCGTTCATCGGTTGTATTTGCATCCATCTTAATCCTTCACCTTCGCATGACTCAGTAATCTCTTCAATACTTTTAAACGAGTGAATACTTTGTGTCATGCATACACCACTCCTCTTGGCAGCTACGTATAATTGATTAAAAAAATAATACAAATCAGCTCTTATGGTGATAATAACGACAACATTATTATACCTTTCGCAACAGGGATTTCTGCATCAATGTGGGCATTATGATGTCTTGCTGTAGGAGCAACTCCTATTGGAGTTGCTACCTTCTGACCAAGAAGAGTAGTGGCAGTATCAATGTTGGACACATCACGTAATACACGAGGAAGAATATAATAACTATATATATATATAAAGTAACAGAATACATGAAAGAAAACAGTCACAGTTGATATGGTAGATTTAATAAGGTCAATGCATGTCTGTGCCTATTTTTAAAGATAATTTCTCATTGTACTTTTGTAGGCTAATACAATGACTTGATTCAAGCTTGTGGCTAGATATTATAAAAATAAATAATTTTATCAAGAGGTAATTACATCATGCATGTATCTAAATGTATGTGGAATTTTTCATACACATACATGTATGAAATAATTTTTGGAATTTTTCACAATTATGTTGTACATGTACATACATATATAATTACTTTGTTTTACAATGAACAATTGTCACACCTTTTGTATGCTTCTATGTTCTCCTTTGCTGTCAATCCAAGGCAAGACCCAGCCGAGAAATAATCCCATTTTTCCTTAATCAATACCTTCTCTGCCTCCTCTTCATAATCTTCACAGCAAACAAGTCTCTTCATGATCAATGTACTGTCTCTGCATGCTCTAGTGGGCGGGGAAACTCCACCCAGCAAACAACTATAGATTTATATTATGCCAGTAGTAGTTACCTTTGATGTGGCTGTGCAACATGTTGCATGAAGTTGAGTGTCTCTCTACATGTTGCCCAACCACATCAAAGGTTTGACCACAAGTTGCAAGCTATGCAACCTGGATGCCCACCTTAAAGTTGTTGGTTTCCAGGAGTATAGTATCATTGTACTGACATGAGACTGAGATAGGGAGGAATATGAAGGAGGGACTCCTTGTGTCTGTCAGTGGACATCTAGCCATGATATTAGGTAATTGTATTGTACTGGACCATTAATTGACAAAAAAATTATTGTATGAATTATTTTTAGACTCAGTGATGAGTGATGGATACTGATAAGTTGCCATTAAGGAGACATGACAATGCAAGAGTTGCTGATGTGGCTCGTAACACTTATAAAATAGTTTTTATTAAGAGGTAATGATACATGTAGATGTATGGAGTTTTTGCTACATGTATACATGAATGTACATGTATATATAATAAAATTTATAAGCATCTTTTTACTATAAAGTTTTTTCTTTATTAGGCCTGAAGGAATTGAAAACTATTGTTTAGTATAGTGAGTCTTGTGACGGACTATATCACTAGTAATGTCAGCAAGACTTGAGCAACCAGCAAAACTCATAGCATACTCAAACTCGTTGCCTAGTATCCTAAGCACATCATAAACACCATCTTCACCCTTTAAATGAACAGAGATAAACAAAAGAATGCTTTTTCCTTATCTTACATTGCATGCAAGTCCCCATACTATTGGTCTCCCTACAAACACTGCCCTAGCTCCAAGTGCTAGTGCCTTCAATACATCAGTACCTTGACGTATTCCACCATCAACATAAACCTCAACCTTTCCATTGACTGCTTTAATAATCTCAGGCAGGGCATATAACTACAAAGAGAGAGAGAGAGAGCAAAGACAGGCTAATAAATAATACAAGTATTAACTGCTTACAGTTGGTGGGGTTTCATCGATATTCCTTCCACCATGATTTGATACTTGTATTGCTTGTATGTCGTGTTTAATAGCTTCTCTAGCATCATCAGGATGTAGGATACCTTTCAGTACTATTGGCAGTGACGTTACACTTCTTACCCAGTCCACAATCTCCCAAGTTCCAGGGTTAATAATGTGTTTCTCCAGTACTTTTCTCAAGCCAGACAGATCACTATATATAAAATCATTCCATTCTTTTGAGAAGTTTCCTGCATAGTGTCCTTTTGCATCACTTGGTGATGGACTAGGTGGCCAAATTTTCATTATTTTGTAATGCATTGGTAGCCTTGGATAATCACAAGTGACTACAATAGCTTTGTAGTTAGCTTTCTCTGCTCTTTGAATAATATCAGCCAATACAGGTCGATCATTCATTGGTTGCACTTGCATCCATCTTAATCCTTCACCTTCACACGACTCTGTAACCTCTTCAATACTTTTATATGAGAATATACTTTGTATCATGCACATGCCTCTCCTCTTGGCAGCTATATAATTAATGACAAAGTTATTTGTAGTGTCAGATCATAATACCTTTTGCGACAGGGATTTCTGCATCAGTATGAGCGACGTGATATCTTCCTGTAGGAGCAACTCCTATTGGAGTTGTTACCTTCTGACCAAGAAGAGTAGTGGCAGTATCAATGTTGGACACATCACGTAATACGCGAGGAAGAATATAATAACTATTATATATA